AGTTTTGGGTTACACCCACCATGCTCTATGGGCAGAGGGTGCGAATAGTCTATTGACAACAATAGTCTAGTTTCTGGGAAATGACATGGAAGGCTATAGAATACAGTTTTGGGTTACACCCACCATGATGAACTGATCTCAGCTGTCCTAACTAGGACACCCTTCCAACCCAAACCGTTCCATAATTCCATGCTTTTAAGCAGTTGAGCAATTTCTAATGACCATGTATTGCTCCCTCCTGGATTGCCACAGGCTCATATCCTGAATCAAGCCAGCACCTCTAGTCCCAGCCCATATGCTGATCATTCCAGGTGTCTGTCCTCTGACAGAGCTGTTCAGCATCATGTACTATAAGATCCAGTGTTCCTGGTCTCTCTCTGCTTGATCAGCAGGTTTCCCAGTGGCAAAGGCTGTTTTTCCCCTTCTGACTGGGGCTGTGGTCACCTGGCTGACGTCCTCCTCCTGTCTCCATGTGCCTCTGTCTTGCAGGTTTGCAGTGATGGCCTGCTGTTGGGCCCTAGATCCCGAAGAAAGACCCAAGTTTCAGCAGCTGGTGCAATGTCTAACTGAATTTCATGCAGCATTGGGAGCCTACGTCTGAAACTGCAGCAGAAGATGGGATTCCCTGCTTGGGAGAAGGCATGGCATCCATCTGCAGCTCCATGCATCCCTCGGACTCGCACACGTGATGTGTATAAAGCAACACCAAAGGGAGAAAGCACTTCTTCCAAAACACTGTGCCTTAGATTGCCTTAGTAGTCTCAAGTTTTTTTTTTTGTAAGACCTCTTGGTGTTGAATATTTTCTAGGTATCACTTTTGCTAAGTTAAATCGAGACCTTTTGGTTTGCCATCAGGATTTGTTAAGTGTAGTGATAGTGAACTGAAACACGAGATTTGGATGGACTTTGCACTCTGACAGCAGACACGTGATTTTTTTTCGGAAAGTTTATGGGACTGGTAGAAAAGTGAGGAGAGGGGAAATGAAAAGCCACACTGCAGAAAATTTTCCCTGCTTTTTTAAAAAAAAAAACCCAAACGTTGAAACTGAATCTTTCTGACCAGCTCCAATGTTTGTACTTGTATGTATCTGGAATAGCTTTTTAGTATCAACTTCTTCTATTTTGAGACAACAGCACATTGTGGTTGGATCCACACGCGGCATCTGAACCCTTTTTAACCCATTCACAAATGTTCCTTGGAAGAGCTGGTCTTCAGGATACAACATCTCCTTTTTATAAAGCGATGATGTAAAAGTGATTCCAGTTTACCTCATACAGAGAGCAGTGAAGGGGGGGTAAGAATGGTGCCCTCCTTTTCAGATCAGAGGATTTTGGGGGTGGTTTTATGCGCTAACTAAGGGCCTTCAGAGAAGCGCCAGAGCAGCCCTTGGGTGGGAGTCTGTCCCCTCAGACTTCTGCCTCGCAGTTTCTCTCGTTCAAAAAGGTACTGGTTGTTTTTTTTATGGGCTTTTATGGCCTGAAATGGGCTTAAATATATAAATATATATTTGTAAAGACAAGTTGCAGAGTAAAGAACGTTTTTCTATTACACCTAACGTGAAAGCTTGGTCCCTCACCTCGCCCTGTGTGTGGAACGTGCAGGTTGGCGGTGGTTGGGCTGGAGTTGGCAGGAAGGGAAGGCGGATTACCTGCCTCCCTCCCTGTGGAACTGGTCCCTGGGACTTCAGGTATTGTCCTGCTGCCTTCCTTAACCCAAGGAAGGGTTCCACCCCGGCTTGTTTGGAGTTGAACACTGCTTAAGAGGACTGAACATGGTTTTTCAGGAAAATGTGTGCTACGCTCAGCCTCAGTAGCTTTCATATCCTGCATGTAACAGAGTTAGTTGCAGAACAGCTCCCAGCTCTCCTGGTGAGCTGTAGGTTCCATCCTCTGCCTAGTGGCACCACAGGGCAGGTTGTGCTTCAGCACACCGTGGGACATGGAGAATTGCCTTTTGTCTCTCCCCATGTGCAGAGTTGAGCACCCACAGCCTCAAGTTTTTGTGCAACTGCAGTGGTGGGAGCACTGCCCTGACAGGCTCCAGAGCCATCAGAGCCTGGTGTGCCAGTGGGAGCAGCTGGATTTGGCCGTGTCACACAGATGTGCAGCTTTTCTTCTTTCCAGAGTTCTGAACCTTGCTGAAGAAAATTAATCCTCCCTAATTAGTGTCACATGGGGCAGAGCTTTGAGTGCTCTCTGTCCCTCCAGATGCTGCAGCTTTCCCATCTGCACTTCAGGGTCGGTTACCTGTGGCCAGTGAACCAAGTCTTGCTTTATCCTGAAAGGAAATTTTCCTGCTGGCTCAGGTTTGGGCATGTTGTGTTGGGCCGTGCTTGCCTGACTGATCTAAAACTGGTTTTGTTTAGTCTAGAGTCATGTGGGGAAGCAGCAGGGCTTTGCCTGGGTGGGTGCCTGTGGTCTCTTCCCTTTCTGAGCTGGGGAACTGCCCAGTGGCAGGACTTTGTTGACAGTGACATGGTTGTTGAAGCTTTCAGTGGGAGAGTTACTGACATCGAGGTGGGATCTGCTGCTCTGAGAGTTACTTGGGATTGGAAAACAGCCTGGGGTGAAAATGATACACCCATTGTATGTGCTCTGTGGGGTGGAGTCACGTGCATCCAAGGTGTGTATCTGGCAAGATCTGCTCACATCCCACAGGTGTCAGAAGTGACACCTGACCACTGTGGCCTGGAGGAGGTTTAGGGATGTGCTGCACCTGAACCTGCTCTGCTCAGTCAGTGGGAGCTGTGGGAATGGGAAACTGCATCAGCTTTCCCTTCCCTAGGATGCTTCTCATCTACTCCCCTCAACAGAGACTGGCAGGTGCTTTAGTGTGGGTTGAGGTACAGATACAACTATTCATTTTGGAAATTTTACTGTCCTTCAAACTGGCTTCACCTCCAGGGATTAGGCTGCCCAGGGCAGTGGGGAGTCACCATCCCCAGAAGTGGTGAATAAACAAGTAAATGTGGCCTTTAGTGCTCTGTTTTAGTGGTGTTTGTTCAAAGGTTGGACTTGATGATCTTGGAGGTCTTTTCCAACCTTTAATGATTCCGTGATTCTGTGGTAGGCATTCTGATAGGAGAGCTACCCTGAGTAGATTCCTTGCAGGAATTTATTGTACCTGAGATTGCAAATAGCTTTCCTGCTGCTGTTTGTCTGCAGTGCTGCCTGTGTTGTATCTTAGCTCTATGGCCTTCTAGGGGAGCTCTTGAGGAGCAGGTCGCTTGGGTGTAGAAGATGGGCAAGGCAGACTTCCTGGAAGGAGAATATCATCAGTAACTTCTAGTCTTGAAGCACACAGCAAAGTCTCAGTGTGACCCTGGGGAGAGCTGGATGGAGCATGGCTGGTAGGTGAGTCAAGGAGATGAAAGAACAGAAAGCTGTGGTTACAGGAAAGAAGAAATGGGAAAGACTGTAGTTTCCAGGATTTTTTTCTCTGGAGGGTGATGCCAGAGGGGAAAACTAGGCAAAGAAGAGGTAAAAGGCAAGAGGTGTTAAGCTGGATATTAGGAAGAAATTCTTCCCTGGGAGGGTGGGGAGGCCCTGGCACAGGTTGCCCAGAGAAGCTGTGGCTGCCCCTGGATCCCTGGAAGTGTCCAAGGCCAGGTTGGACAGGGCTTGGAGCAACCTGGGCTAGTGGAAGGTGTCCCTGCCCACGGCAGGGGGTGGCACTGGATGGGCTTTGAGGTCCCTTCCAACCCTTAACATTTTGTGATTCCATGTAGAAAAATTGCCTTGCTGGGGGTGATTTGTACTCTACGAGGAAAAATGAACTAATTGTCTGTCCTCGATGATACAAATGGGACAAAGGTTGGGAACGGCTTTCTAGGAAATGCTGAAGGACAGAGTGAATAATGTGGTTTGATGAAAAGGGCTTGAAGGAATAGGGAAGTGGAGTGACTAAACATGTCTTTGTAGACATGTCAGAAGTCTGAGGAGGGGGGGAGAAAAGTAGCTTGAGGAGGGGGGGAGAAAAGTAGCTGGCATGGAAAGAGGATATTGATACCATGGGCATGAGGAGAGAGGATAGTATTGAGCAGGGAGATAGTCAAGTATTAGGTGAGAACAGGTAGGTTGGCCTGACAGGAGGCTTCAGGTTGGTTTTGGGTAAATGTCGTGTTTGGAGGTTCTCTTTTTGATGTCTAATCAGCTGTTTCAGGGAGCAGCTGGACAGGACACCCCTCAGAAGGAACCCAGGCTTAGTCCTGGCTGATGCACAGGACCATGTGTGGGCTTAGTGGAGAGCTGCTCTGTGCCAGTGACCAAACTGGGCTTGGATCTGCAGTCTTGCTGGGCAGGAAAAGAAAAAGAGCAAAAGGGGGGGGTAACAGGAAAAATCAACCAACCAAAATGCAAAGCAACCAAAAAAATCCTATGACTTTATTAGTATTTAATCTTGAAAGAGGAACTGTGTGGAAACAAGAGCAGTTTAAGGAGAAAAAGCAAAGGGCTGGCAGGTGATGGAGGACAAGCTGTTCCTGGGGTTGCAATATTTGGGCTCTTGAGAAGCAGCAGTCCCTAGGGGCAAGGTTGTGTAAAAAACTCTGTGTATTTTAAATTTTACACAGGAAGAGAAAGAAATGGCTGAGGGTGCCTCACTGAAGGATTTATAAGAGCCAGGCCAGGGCAGGTTTAGGTTGGATACTAGGAAAAATTTCTTCACCAGAAGGGTGGTCAGGGATTGGAACAGGCTGCCCAGGAAAAGTGGTGGAGTCCTCAAGGCTGGAGGGATTTAAAACCATGAGGATGTGACACTTGAGGACTTGTGGTGGCCTTGGTGGTGCTGGGGGAGTGGTTGGACTCGATGGTCCTGGAGGGCTTTTCCAACCTAATCAGTAACAGCACAGGGAAACGTGAGAGGGAGTTGCTGACACCTTCTTTGGGACTCGTGGGAGTGGGAAACCTCTGCCACATCCCCAAGGGACCCTTTCCATATGGTGCCAGTATAGATTAGCTACCAGATTTTGCCTCCCAGACAAAGGCTATTACAGGACTGAGACAACTGGCCTTGATTCGTTACAACACCACACTGGGATGATGGAAACCCATTGACAATTTCTCTAGTGAAATGATTGTCAGCCAAGTCCATCCTCTCTCCAGGCAGGATGGTGCTGGCAGCTGATTCAGGGGTCCAGCTGGTCTAGAGAATGCCACTTATAGCCTGGGTGATGGCAGCAGCTTGGGAAGGAGTCAGGGCTATCTCCATGAAAAGCACTCTCAGTGCCAGTGTATCCAGCAGAAATCCCAGCTGCTCATAGCTGTTGGTCTTGGAGAACAAGTGAAGCTTCAGGCGACTTCAGGTCAGTCTCCTTTCCTTCTCTGATGTTATTTTACCTCGGGGGATCTTGGTCCTGTCTGCAGAGACCGTTCCCAGCTTTGTTTTGGTATGGCTGGAATATAACAAAGGCTGTGGGTTCTGGGAATAGCTGTGAGTGCCAGCCCTGCTCAGCACTTGGGGAAAACACTTCTCTCGTACGTCAGAGCCAGGTTTGGGTGTCTGAGGGAGCTGTTGCGCCCCGGGGGATCCGGAGGGTGCGTGCCTGACTCCTCTGTGCCTGGGATGTGTTGGCTGCTCCCCAATCTCCCCGTGGTGCCAACATCGGACTGCACACGCGACTGGAGCCCTGGCTTTTGGGCTGTGGCCTCTGAAGGCTCTCAGCCAGAAAGCTGTACCTGAGAGCAGCAGGAATGCTGCTTCCAAGAAACAGCAGCGCTTCCTGGGACAGAACAAACTGCCCTTGTGCTGATGCCGCTCATCGTGAGGTGTGTGGTTGCGTGGGCTGGGACCATCTCTCAGGCACAGGTTGTGACTCTTGGGGGATGGTCCTGTGCAGGGTTAAGGGTTGGACTGGATGGTCCTTGTGGGTCCCTTCCAACTCAGCACATTCTGTGGTTCTGTGATCTCTGGGAATGACTTCTCCTTTTTCCAGTCATGCCAGTGGCCCCCCAGTGTGGTTC